TGATGGTTGACTTTAACTAACTGTTCTCTTCCTGTAAGAAAAGAAGTTATCCACTCAAGAAGCCTTCCACTTATTCCATAAGATAGGAGTTTCAGTATGAGTCTTTTATGTGGGACTTTATCAAAAGCTTTCCTAACATCTAGAAATAATGTTGCTGCCGAACGACCTTTGTCTACACATTCAGTAATGTGGTCGAAATAATCTAACTGGCACGTAATGCACGATCTTCTATTTAGGAAACCGTATTGGAAAGGGGATATTAAGTCATTCGAGAGCAAATACTGAACAATTTGCTTCTTTACAATCTTTTCCATCACACGTGAAACTACGGAAGTAATGTTGATGGGGCGGTAATTATCTATGTCCGCTGTAGGTCCGGTTTTGTGAATGGGTACAACGTAGGATTTCTTCCAGCTATTTGGATATGTTCCACTCCTTATCGAAGTTGAAAATATCTTGAGAAGAAGTAGATTCATGTCATTTCCACCATTTTTTAAGAGGACGGAAGACATTCCATCTGGGCCGGGAGTATTAGTAAGCTTAAGAGTTGTGATAGCTTTATCGATTTCTTGGGCGTTTAAGACTACATCGCTTAGACACTTTTCTGTTTTACGAGGGAAATCTATATCCTGGTCATTTTCTAGAGTGTACAGTTTGGCAAAGTGCGTGCTAAACACCTCACATATATCCTCAGCACTTTCGTGAGTAATGCCACCTAGGTGTATTATTTTTGGATATGTTGATTTGGAGTTAGTTAACCTACTTTTGAAGAGTTTGGCTATTTCTCCAGTGTTATGTGGCGACTGAATTGCCCGCGTTTCTTTATTCCTAAGACTTAGATTTTTTAACTCATGGATTCTAATGAGGATTGATTTGATAGCGATTAACGACGATAAGTCGTCATGTCTATAGTAACTTAATGAATGCTTCCGCAAACTTCTTCTTAATGATATTGGAATAAAATCACCTTGAGGGATTTTGAATTTAATCAGTTTCACAGGCGCTATGACATCATTAACCGACTGTATATTGTCATAGAAGTTTTTAAGGACTTCCTCTAAGGAGTCATTGGTAAAGTAGGAATCCCAATTAGAGTATCTAATCAAGTCCTGATACAAGTCCCAATCAACCCGCGTGTATGGTCTTATAGGTGTCCGACTAACTTCGTTTCTGTGTATAGTTTCTGGGGAAATGTTAAACGAACATGCAACTATTTTATGATCGCTACCTGGGAATTCATGTCCCACATGAATTGTAGATGGTGCTACGTTGATCGTGAATATAAGATCAAGAATGTTATTGGACCTAGTGGGTACATTTATGTGTTGCGTCCATCCTCCAGTAATGATGGAATTAAGAAGATTATCATACCTCGAGGGTCCACGAAGTGTACGCCATGATATATCAGGCAAATTGAAGTCACCACCAATTATATTATAACTGAAGGGGAGATTGGATGCAACACTAAATATGTTGCTGAGTACGTTATCGTATTCGCGGTTGGATGATGGCGGTCGGTATACGCACCCTATAAGGATAGGTTTACTTCTGAGAACTTTTATTTCGACCCACACCGAATCATTAAGTTGTGACAGAATAGGGTGACTAAAATGCGTTGCACAAATGGGTTGTTTAACGTATATGAGTGTTCCACCCCCACGACCTGTTTCCCTATCCCCTCGAAAAAGATTGTACTTATCAATTGATAAGCTACCATCCACAATGTCACTTGAGCACCAGGCTTCAGTGATCATGATCAGAGACGGATTGCATATAGAGGCTAACGTACATAATGCTAAATGTTTGTTAAGAACTGATCTAGCATTTATGAGGATGACGGATAGACTTTGACGAAGTGGTTTTAGTGTATGGGCAATATCATAATAAAATACTCTATGGTTATCAACTGAATATGTGCAGTCGTTATTGGATTCATTAATTACAACATTTTGATCACTAGAGACGGTTTCTTTAATTTGATAGTTAGGGATGGGTTGTGAAATGTCACTCGTGAGTAGTTGGTCGTTTAGATATTGCGTGCTATGGGAGATACTAGTATGATAATCTATGGTATTACTATTGGTATTAGGTGTGTATAAGATGTTTGCTATCTTTCGGGGAAGAAGCAGTTTCCCTGTTGTAAGGTGTTCGCTATACCAGCAAGGAATTGGTCTGATATCATGCGTGCTATGTGCATGATCCCAGGCGTTTCTGCCAGTTGTCGCTGGAGAAAATTTTGGTCATATGGATTGGCTAGTGTCGTGTAATCTGCATAGTTATAACCGAAATGTGTGATCGGCGTGTTGTTGTGTGCATATGACTTAGATCCCTGTGTCTGATTAGAGTACTTCCTAGGCCATGATGAGCATTGTGCTGAAATTGGCATGTGACCCCTACTGAATGCATGAGAATTATGACAGGGCACTATACGCGTTTTTGGACTAACGTCTGTATTCTCAAACTGATGTTTCCTGTACATCATGGTTGAGGGTGCATTCGTGAGGGGTTGAGCAACTTCGTGTTTTCGAAGTGTTTGGTGAGATATGTGACGATTGTTTTTTCTTATCATAGGACTGGTAGTGGAAGTCGGAAATGATTCAGCTCCTACGGTATGTGAATTACGTCTAACTTCAGGAACATGACTAAGTTTAGATGATTGTCTATCAGTAGAATGAGCCAGTGACCCATTTGAAACTTTCCTACTTATGGGCTTTAGTGTTCCGGGTCTAACGTTTGGTTTAGCTTTATCCGTATTAGTCGGCCTGTATAATTTGGGCTGCTGGTGATTAGTAGGATTTCCTAATAAACTGGATTTCTGATGAATAGTCTCAACAGTTTTTTTGGTGTTCCTAACGGAAATAGGACGTTTATCATAACGCCTTGTATTTACACCTACCTGGGTGGCCACATGTGATTGCTGCTTCACAGTAGCCGGGCTAAGAGGTTGTGAGGTATATGACTTCCCGAGAGATTCAAAGTGTACTACTGAATTCAGCTTAGACTTTTTCGAGGGTTTGGCATTAGTGCCAGTGTGCGAGGGATGCACGTCAATACTGTGATCTGTTGACATTTCTATGTCTGAAATTTCAGTATTTCGAGCTAAGTCTTCAACAGTTGCTTGACTACTGTTAGTTTGTGTATGCGATATTATCTGGTGCTCTTGGTCATCAGGCAATACAACGAGGGAAGTATTAACATCGGTTGTCTTATTGGGGTTGTCTTCCCTCAGTTTACCTGCGCGGCAACGTCTTTGGCAAGAAGTTAAATCAGGTACAATCCTGATATTGGTGTAGGGTGTTGAGGAGCCAAGAGTTTTGCCAGACTCCAAAAATTTCTTAGCTAGGTCAATAGACTTAAATTTGAAGAGTACAGGACATGGGTGGTTTGCGGATTTCTTACGAAGACGCAGAACCTGGCAGTCAGATACTGAAATGTTGCATGCCTGTAGACAGATTGCTTTAAGTTTGATAATAGGTACATTGTCTGGTATATTATATCCTAAAACATTGTATGAGGACATGACCCTCTTTACAGCCTCTGCAGTCAAAAAGTCTAGCAGGCGCTCAGATTTGAGGAGTGAATCTAAGCAAATTTCTTGTGATGGATCACAAAGTTGGAGGAAAGGAGTGATACCTTCGAACTTATCCTGCAGGTCTGTTATAGATTTCTGAAGGATCTTTAGATCACTAGTGTTACGGGCTACGTTATCGATTAGTTCTTCCATTAAGTTTGGTACTATAACTCTCGGTGTATCAATTGATCTTAGTACAAATTCATCGTCAGGACTAATGTTTCTAGTGACCGGCTGACTATTTGATGCTAGTCTCTTAACAGTACTAACTCGTTTAATAACTTTGACCATTATGGAGGTAAAGATTATAAAAAGTTCTCAAAAATTGACAAAAGTGTGTGAAATACTGTTATATTATCTAAGTAGATAAAAACAACAATAAACAGGTATGAATGTATGAAGTACGAACTAAAAATAGACCACTATCAAACGAGTTAACTCTGACAGTTATAAACAACAAAACTAAGGACTTCTCTATAGTTCTTTTGTGATAGATTGCTCTTTATTAACACGAATCTGACTGGATCCAAACAGTATTCTGGAGGTGATAAATTTGGATATTTAGCTACCGGAGGTGCAACCAATATCAGCTATAATTATATAGTAGTCAAATATAGACCACGATATTCCAGAATTCGAGAAATTATTTCATTAAGGAACGTGCATTAATAAGCAATATCGTGAATAAGTCACGGGATACTAGAAACTGGCTTAAAATGTCACCATAACCTAAATCTATTTGTGCGTCAGCACCGCAAGAGTTTATGAATGAAAGGGAGGTCGGACTGGGTGTGTGTACATCGGGGTTGGTGTGCAATGAGGTGGTCCTAGGTGCCATGGGTCGTACAAGTGATTCCAGACACCTGGAAAATTTACCATGTGTTCCTGGACATAAGGGTTGTCAATGGAGTTGAAGATTGAACGATCAATTCTTGTTTGTTTGCTCAAAATCAACTTCCCCAATTTTCGCGGAGGCATCAATACGACAGTCATCGTCTCATCGGTCGCTGTTCAGAAAGAAGAGTGAAACATCGTCAGAAGTAATACAATGATTTATTATTGTAATATTTGTTTTCAGACCTTAGTTCGCTTATTCTTTTTATATGTTGGTGTAACAATAAAGAAATATCAAGCGGACAATCGGTGTTTTGGTTTTTTCGTCCGTTATAACTAAGCGTTTCTGAAAACTTCAAGGAACAGCGTGGGCCCGAGCGTAGCGAGAGCTGGGCATTAACGGTTTATAATAATAATAATAATAATAATGATCACTTTATTCCACAACAATAACAATTTACAGCATGGAATTTTCAGCGTTTCTTTTACATATTGCAGTGGTTTAGCTCTGTTTATAATTATATAAATATATAAAATGTTAAAATATTGATAGTTAATAGGAAAAAATAATAAAAAATTAAATAAAAATAAAAAACCCAACAAAATCATACCATTTCTAGGTCATAGTGAATAATAAATAAATAATATAACAAATAACACTTGCATTAATATGCATCATTACATTTTATAGTTTAGTTACTGATTCAAAAGTTGTAAAAGTTCTTTTCTGATATTTGTCTCTTCACACAATACTCGTGCCAAATATGGAACGGTCGAATTTTTATATTTTGTAGTACGAGCATAAATGTTTATAAAATTTCTTCTGGTCTTACCCGAAGAGATACAAGGAAACAGTTGTGAATAAAGAGGATGTTCACTATCAGATAAGATAACTTTAGCTAAGTGTTTACAAGAATTCATATGCCTATTGACAACAGTGTCACTTAGTTCAGTCAAAGGGATAGCACTGACCCTACTTACAGCCCTCAATGTTCTTCGTAGTATTATATGATCTTTCTTGAGTAGCCCAGGGAAGAATAATGGAGAACAATAAAGAATGATGGGCAAAACACATGAATTAATAAATTGTATGATAAGAGATTGAGTTATACCTGAGTGTCTCAACTTCTTTATGTAATAAGTCAGACGGAAAACTTTCTTAGAAACTATAAGAATATGAGACGACCAGCAAAGATTTGACGAGAAACTAATGCCAAGATAAGAAACACTTGACTTACTCTCAATCATGGTACCATCAATATTACAACAATCATTAGATTGAATCAATCCATGCATGACTTTTTCACTTCTCAAGCTAAAATCAACAGTGTTACATTTAGTTGGATTTAGTTTAAGGCCATTTGAACCAGACCAATCCTTAACTTCAGCTAGGAAGCCATTCATATAGGAACAATCCGATGTGGAAACTACAGGGACAGAAACGGTCAGGTCATCAGCATACTTAATGAAGTTAACTTTGGGTGAGTTCGGAAGGTCATGCAGAAAGAAAGAGAAAAGAAATGGAGAAAGTACTGCACCTTGAGGCACACCACTTTCAGTTAGCTGGGAAGTGGAGCGCTTTCCAGCCAAAACAGTATGCTGTTTCCTATCCTTAAAATAAGAAGACAGCCATCTAGTTGCCCAGGACTCTGTTTGTGCTGAAATCATCTTTCCTAATAAAAGTGTCCTAGGAACAGAGTCGAAAGCTGCAGTATAGTCTAAGAAAGCTGTTCGAACGAACTTAGCGCCCTTATCAAGGCAGGAAACAATATTGTGGTGTAGTACAATGGCTGCATCTAATGTACTTCTTCCACACTTATAAGCAAACTGCTTAGGGTCATTAAAAGCTTTTAAAGAAGGTTTAAGAATATACAAAAGAAGTTTCTCCATAGTTTTCAAAAAAGGAGATGTTATAGCGACTGGTCTAAATTTTATACCTGCTCCAGAAGATGATTTCTGTACAGGTACAACCTTGATTTCTTTCCAGTCAGCAGGTACCGTTTCCCTCTTAAATGATGCGTTAAAGATTTGAGTAAGAGAATGACACAGGATGTCTGCACACTTTTGGAGAAGAATGCTTGGTACACCATCTGGACCAAGGCTGTGTGTTGGATTTAATGACTTCAAACATAATAGTACATCCTTTTCTTCAAAACCCTGAAAATGACCATTTTCTTGACTAGGTACATCAGGTACAACCATATTAATTTGTTTCTTGATAAATGATTTGTTTAAAGCATTAACATCAGAATAAGCATCAACGGACATTTGTTTTTTACTTGTTAGTTTATTGAAAAGTTTCCAAATGTTTGAAGGATTTTTACATGATAAAAATTTTTCATTATATAGTCTGTTCAACCTTTCTATTTCAATTTTTATAAGGGTGTTTATTTTACGGACACCAGTATTATCACAATTCTTATACAACTTCTCTTTTTGTCTTCTAAGTTTTTTCAGTTGCACAGAAGAGATTCTGTCAAATCTCGAAAACAGTGTTTCATAAGGACAGCAAATATCCAAACAAAACTTCAGATAATCGGTTATATTAGAGACAGTAGCATCCAACTTATCGTCAGTAAACAGTTCCCAGTTGGTATCATGCAACATGCTTCTTAATGCTAGAATGTTGTCATGGGAATATGAACGTTCATGTATCTTCTTTGTTAAATGACTAAACAATTTTCGTTGTGACTTGCCGTACACTTTCGGTAAAATACGAATAATGCAGTGGTCAGAATTTAGCAAAGGAGCTCTCCTTCTGGTTTCATATACATCACGGTCATTTATGAAAACCAGGTCTAGTGATTTGTCCAGACGTGTATTAAACTTGACTAGATTCTCATGACCAAGCGAAGTAAGAAAGCTGTGATCACATAAATTAAAATCACCACAGACTATAGACAACGAGTTTCCGAATGCAGGAGCAGCGAATTCAGTAAACTCATCTGCAAACATAACTATATTAGAAAGGCTACAATTGGGTGTTATGTAAATATTTGTTATGTATATATAAGAATATTTACTTAAGTGTTTTGGGCGACACCTGACGGTTATGCAATCTATATTGTCATTAGAATAATTGAAGCAAACGTGATTTGATGTAGACCAATTTGTGTTTATATATGTGGCTACCCCTCCTCCATATTTTTTCTTGGAACTATTTCTATCTTGACGAAAAACTTTATATCCATTTATTGAAATTAGATTATCATCATAATGCTGGTGCAGCCAAGTCTCTTGTATTGCTAAAACGCCAGCATTTCGATAAACATTGGAATACATTAGGGATTGAAGGTAATCCATTTTGTTGGACAGGGATCTACAATTAGTGCTAACGAGTTCAGGAACAGTCATTTGATTAATTTGTGTACGTTTCAGTGCACGCTGCCAGCCACAGTGATGCTTTTTTCTCAATTTTTGTGGATGACACAACGCGGTAGGTTGTAATGATTTTAAAAATGCGCGATTGTATATAATACGATTAGGACACATTATTGATAAATTAAAACAAAATTAAAAGAGCAAACCAAAGCAATTTTGCAAAATGTTGTAAGGTGGAATTTTTGGTAGCCCTATGTTCAAGCAGGCCGCCGTTTATGAGACGTGATTGACAAGGGTAGCAGGGTTTGGGCCTAGGTTGACGGTTAGAAGGCATAGCATCAAAAGGTCTACCAACCCAACTGCTATTCGTCATACCGGTACACACCTTTGGGTTGTCTTTATAACTTAAAGGGAATTGTGAGGAGAGGTGCTTTGGCTGCAAGACTTTAGGAGTCTTGCAGCCTGACTTTCTATAAGGTGGAGCACGCGGAAAACCTCCGGATATACTTGTGTTTCGAGAGGAGTTTTTCGTAACAAGTGATGGTTTGTTGACGTTCTTACTCTCAGCAGGCTTATTGAATACATAGTATTCTTCCCCATCATTAGTCTCAACCCTGCGAAATTTGTTCATCGTGGTGAGGTTACTACGTTTGGAGGGAAATTTCTTAGAACAACTTGCAGAAGTTCTAGCTATTTGAACATCTTTCGATGAGGCTTTATCTACAGGGGTACTGGTATCTAAATCAGTTCCTAGTTCCATTGACAGGTGTGGTTGTTGTGTAGTTTGCTGAATGCTAGTTTCAGCACTAGGTGTCTGTTGCTGTGCACGATCCTTATTTAGTAAATCAAAGCTAGAGGAGGTGACCAGGTTATTACTACGCATTATTCTGCGTTGACACGGTGTTTTATCCTGAGCTACGGTTATAGACTTATAACTGCTATTCAGTCTTAAGTGATCCTGACACTTAGTAAACTTACTAGCATCAAGGGAATTACTGAATTTAAAAATGATGGGACAATTAGCCTGGTTAGACTTTTTATGAAGTCTTTTGCATTCACATGGAACACTAGCCATGCCGCAACAAATCGGGATTTTGTGTCTTACAGTTTTCAGGGGCAGAGAATCTGGGACGTTGTAAACTATAGCTTGGTGAGAAGAGGTTATACGCTTCATCACCTCAATAGCCAAGCAGTCAATCAGATTTTCAGCTTTATTTAGGTTGTCTGGAGATATTTTAGGATGTTGTTTTAGCAGACAGGCTATTGGGTCTAAATCCGAAAGCTTGTTTTGAGTTACATCCAGTAAAGACTTAAACTGGCCAATATCAAAACAGCTCTCCGTGGTATTTGAGATTGGCAGCGACATACTATCAAACTGATCTAATTTTTTCTGAATTTCACTTACTTGCCTCTGCATATCTTTCAAAAAGAGGTTTAGTTTACAGAACTCAGAGTTCTCTAACAGAACATCTTTCACCTGTATCACAGGAGTGAGATCTGCACTCAAACCATTTTGAGAGCTAGTAGTTGATACTGTATTACCAGGCGGTAATGCAGTTATAACCGAATTTGAGCCACTATCTAAAACAACTGTGTTTCTACGAACACGTTTTTTAGATATTTGGACCATAATTTCAAGAATTATAAGACAATAAGCAGTAAATAAATTTCAGAGCAAACTCGTGCGAAAATGTCACCAATTTCGAACGTACCGCCAGTTAAAATAGCATGCATACTTGCCAAGCCGTCAGTGTAATTGATCAGCGTGTAGCCCACCTATCATCAGATGCTAGTGCTAAACCGGAGCTGACAGTAAAAGATGGAATTGGTAGAAATCTTGCAGTTAGACAACTTTCTGAAAGGCGAACAACAACAGCTTCTGATCCACCGCTAAGTTCATTAACTGGTATCAATCAGTCGTCGTTGGTGTTGTCATCCACAATGAAACAGACGCCCATCAACTCAAGTATCTTGTGCAATGACTATGATAGTATTGGTGCATTTGAAAAGCCGAAGATATTGCTCAGTTTATTGAGGATAAACCAAGTGTAAACGAGAGAGTAATTGTTAAATTGACTTGGATGAATAAAGGCATTTCACGTTTCAAGTCACTATTTGAATGCTATTGTCTTTGGTGTAAATTACTCTGTGCCTACGCTTGGTTGACCAGATACGTCGTGTGTTTGTTCGTCATCTATATTTTACGATACAATGATATGAGCGTGTTACCGTTCAGATTTGAGGATATAGCTGATAGAGGAAAGTCAGCAAATGAACTCTTCGACGATTTTCCAACCTAGAGCGTCAACCTGAGAGGGGTTGTAGGCGTACTGGTGTAAGTCCTGCAATTCTTCAGAGGAATTCCATCGAGACACTATCCGCGAGATTATTTGTAATGTTTGTATATACGTGTCGTGTGTCATATCAATTGGTGTTTTTGGATCCATTGTGTTTAGTCGTTGTTTTCGCACCTTGTTGTTATGGCGTAATTTTGTTAAACTTTTCGTCGTGATTACTTCTGAAGTTGTTTCCAGTCTTCTACATCCGTGAATGAATTGATTGATGTTGAAGACAGCAGATGGGTCGTATACGCCATGGAGGCTGGGCTACTGCTGAGAATGACATGCACACGGAGATAAGGATTACCTGTGGTCCCACACGCCGGGAAGCGAGAGTGTAGACGACTGAGGCTCGCATACGTCACCGTTACTAGAACTGAGGCAGAATGAGTGACAAGCGATTGCAATGGTAATTGATAGTGAATAAAAAAGAGGATGTGCGTAGAGTATCGTGAGGTGCTCCTATGGTCACACTGCATTCTGCAAGAGTCATTCTAGCGAGTGGCGGTTGTGTTGCAAGATGTCAAGAGGATACCTTCATCTGGAGGCGCAGGTCGTCAGCGATGTGTGAGATTGTGCTGTGGGTATGCTTGTGGTGTGTTGGCTTTTCTGTTTGTTTTCCATTTCAGCTCTGTCCGTGTGACCCAGGTTCTCGCAATGGCATCTAAGTCAACGTGCATTGGTCGTGGTGGAAAAAAGTGATGGATCCTTTTTTGCCGGGGAGTGTCAATGGAGTTGAAGATTGAACGGTGAATTCATTTTTGTTTGCTCAAAATCAACTTCCCCAATTTTCGCGGAGGCATCAATACGACAGTCATCGTCTCATCGGTCGCTGTTCAGAAAGAAGAGTGAAACATCGTGTGAATTAATATTGTGATTTGTTATTGTAATATTTATTCATAGACCTGAGTGAAAGCCTAACTTTAAAGTTGGATATGTGTTGATGTTACAATAAAGGATTCTCGAGTAACCAATCCGTGTTCTGGTTTTGCGTCCGTTATTACTATGCGTTTCTGAGAAACTTCAAGGAACAGCGTGAGTCCCAGCGTAGCAAGAGCGGGGCATTGATGGTTTACGAGACGTGACCGACGGCGCATTACTCTTCATTTGCAGTGCTTCAATGGAATACCTTCGAGAAGTGAAGAAAACAGAAGGAGACAGAGGCAGCCAGAAGATAATAATAATTTAAGCAAACAATATGCGATAACCGCAGGGTTTATTCTCCTTTTTTATTACTAGGAATTTCTAGTCATTGAGTTTTATAGTGTTACATACTAACGGTTAGTTTAAGTTTGTAGTAGTAAACAACAACTAAAGTATAGGATAATAATAAAAAAGTAAAAATT